GGCGGCGTAGGAGGGGCGGGGGAGGAGGAGGGGCTAGGAACCCTAGCCAGGGTGAGGGAATCGTGGGTCGCTCGCTCGCTCGCTTTACAGGATCGAGAGGAGAGGGGGTGTCGTACGGGTTTTTCTTAGCGGGAGGGGTGGTGCGAAAAAAACCTACGAAAAAAAAAACCAAGGTGGGAAGGAAGACGAAAAAGAACCGGACGAAAATGGTGGAACGAAAATAAAACCCGGAACGCGACCTATCAATTGAGACATTAGGAGTTTAGATAGATACGTGGTCACACCACCCATCCGGCGAAATGTCAAAACGGGACGTGTTTTTGAGCTGGTCAAAATGGGATGCTTAGCAAAAGGGATAACTGGCCGTCAACTCTGAAGCTTTCCGCCCGTACACGAACCTACTCCAACATCCCAGTTTTCACCTCGCCGCACACTACAAATATTCTTCTCTCTACCTTCACGACTCCACCACACGCCGCGCTTGCAACTCCGGCCAGCTCGAGCTGAGCCGAACTGCCGAAGCCAAGCAACTCCGGCACGAGCAAGACTCCCCGTAGGGCGTGCGCTCTACTACCATACCATGGTGCGACTCCTCCTAATCGTAGCCGCCGCCGTGCTGCTGTCCGCGGCCGGCGCGACGGCCCAGCAGAAGGGCTGCGAGAACGCGACGTTCCCGGCGGGCAGGTCCTTCGAGCGGTGCAACACCCTGCCCGTGCTCGGGGCCAGCTTGTACTGGACGTACCACGCGGCGAACGGCACCGCGGAGCTCGCGTTCCGCGCGACGTCGGGCAGCGCCGGGTGGGTCGCCTGGGGCATAAACCCCAGCGGCGCCGGCATGCCCGGCAGCAACGTGTTCGTCGCCTCCCAGAACGCCAGCGGCGTGTCGGTGCTCATGACCGTCCTGAAGAGCACGGCCCCGGCCCTGGACAACACCACCCTCCAGTTCGACGTGCCGGTGCCGCCCACCGCGGAGTACGCGGCCGGCGCGTACACGATCTACACGACGGTGGCGCTGCCGGGGAACTCCACGCAGCAGAACACGGTGTGGCAGGCGGGGCCGCTCAGCGGCGGGGCCATATTGCCGCACCCGACGTCCGGGCCCAACTTGCAGAGCCTTATGAGGCTGGACTTTCTCTCCGGCTAGAGCACCCTCTCCGCCGAGGCCGAGGTCACAGCGCACAGTCACCATATGTAATTATTTGTTAGTGTCATCGTCATCATGTATATAAATAAATCACACGATATATTTCTTTTTTTTGCATCGACACGATATATTTCTTATGATTCCTGCTATTGCACTTCGTATATCTATATCTATATCTATATCCATTATGTAATAAAGGACGGATGCTTTCATAGATTTTTTTTAAACTTCTCCATACGTCATCTGTTTAGATCTGTGATTTTATGTTAATTATAAAGATTGACGGCTGAGATTAGCTTTCATAGTTCTTCATACACCATCTTTTTAGATTCGTCGATTTTACGTTAATTATAAAGATTGACGGCTGAGATTTGAGAGGTAGGTTTTTTGTTCTCCTTCCGTCACCCCTTAATACACAAACCTTACATGTGCTTCCACACAAAAAATTAATTCGCATGGCTGTGATTTGAATTCAGGACCTACTTAGCGCTCACAATAATCAATCCACCGGGTAACACTTTTATTCTTCAAAAGTGATCAAATCTATATGTGTGTACTGGATGGATGGAGTCGCTGGCCCATCAACATTGCACGGCTCCGACGTTATACAAAATCCCAACTCGCCTTCTTAAAGGCATTTCCTAAACGGCGCCTTCAGCGCCCGTTTATTCAATTCCAGCAAACGGGCGCACACTACAGTTCCGCACTGGGCCGGCCCATGTTACGTTTCCTTTTCTGTAATAACTCCCAAAAACACGTCAAAAAACTGCAGCAAAACTGGGCACTAACCAACAGACCAACGTACCGATTGTATCCAGTTACTTAATTTCGTTCTTTTATTTACGTAGGCCGTGAGAGCCCACCAAACCAGCTTCCCCTGCTGGCTTATTTCTGGGTGTTTTTTTTCTTTTTTTGGTTCCTTTCTTCTTTTTCTTTTCTCATTTTCCTTTTTTTCTTTTCCTAAAAATGCGAATTATTTAAAATTCATGAAATTTTCAAAATTGAATGAACTTTAATCAAATCGATGAACTTTTTTAAAATTTGATGAAAATTTTCAAATTCCATGATTTTTTTAAAACATGAACAATTATTGAGAACATGAATAAAAATTTATATACGACGAACAATTTTCAAATATACACTGAACATTTTTTCGGTGTACGATGAACAATTTTTAACTACACAGCGAACATTTTTGTGATATACATTGAAATAATGTAAAACATATTTATACATTTTTTTGATATAAGATGAACAAATTTTATACATTGAACATTTTTGTAATATAACCTGAACAACTTTTAACTACACATTGAACAATTTTGTGATATGCGCTGAAAATTCATTTAAATACCCATTGAAGATTTTTTATGTACACTGAACAATTTAAAATATGAACTTTTTTCAAATTTGAATGAACTTTTTTGATATTGATGAACTATTTTTCAAAATTGATGAACTTTTTTTTAAATTTGTGTTTTTTAAAATCAATGATTTTTTTGGTTCGTTAACCTTTTCAATTCGTGATTTATTTTGAAATCTGTGAACTTTTAAATTTCTCCCCGAAAAAAATACGTTTTTCCAAATCTGTGCGCAATAAATAACGCGACTTTAATTATTCTTAAATCCTTCGCGATAAAAATATCCATGTATGATTGGTTGCCCTAGTGGTTAGGCGACTGGAACAGGTACTGGACGTCGCGTGGTCGAATCCTCACGGCAACAACCTTTTTAGGGCATTTTTTGTCTTATAGATAAGGCGTGCCGTGGGCCAGCCCAGCAGGCGCGGCTGTGAGCGCCAGCTTCCTGAACCGGCACTTAAGGCGCCGGTTAGGAGCTCCCCTTCTTAAATATAATTCTTCCAATTTATTATGTTTTAAATTCTGTTGTATCAATGAGCCATCTTAGGATTTTTTTTTTGAAAAACAACTTGAAACTTTATTAATTAGAAATAATCGTTACATCGTCTATCAAGAGAGTTACAAGATCTTCCATGGGCTCCTCTATCCAATCCCTAGTCATGGAACTTTTTGCTAATCTAGCAAGCTCATGAGCTACTTTATTCGCTTCCCTGTTACAATGTTCAAAACTGGTTTGAGGAAAATCACAGGCCATAAAAAAACAATCCTCAAAAATTGCAGCAGCCGCCCCCGCACACTGTCCTCCGTTCTTCATTGTTTCGATGACCTCCATATTATCAGAATTGATGATTAGACAATTGCAGCCCGTCTTTTGTGCCAACAGTAAACCAAATCTGAGTGCTACCGCCTCTGCTATCAGGGCATCCGCACAGTGCTGAATCCTCCAGTTACCACCTACTATGAAGTTTCCTTTTTCATCGCTGATAACAGCACCCGCTGTGCCTCTTAGCTGATCATGATCAAAAGAAGCATCCACGTTCAATTTAACGAAACCCCTAGGAGGTCTGCACCATCCTTCATTCTTTCTCTTTGCTTTAGGAGAGTGGGCATTTACATAGTTCGATGTTATAGCCCGAATCCCCATCGCAGTTTGGGACGCTTCCTGAGACTTACCCTCATGGACTAGTTTCCGTCTATTCCACCATAAATACCAAGCAGCTTTAGCAATAAATTCCGCACAGTGCCAACAGTAAACCAAATCTGAGTGCTACCGCCTCTGCTATCAGGGCATCCGCACAGTGCTGAATCCTCCAGTTACCACATACTATGAAGTTTCCTTTTTCATCGCTGATAACAGCACCCGCTGTGCCTCTTAGCTGATCATGATAAAAAAAAGCATCCACGTTCAATTTAACGAAACCCCTAGGAGGTCTGCACCATCCTTCATTCTTTCTCTTTGCTTTAGGAGAGTGGGCATTTACATAGTTCGATGTTATAGCCCGAATCCCCATCGCAGTTTGGGACGCTTCCTGAGACTTACCCTCATGGACTAGTTTCCGTCTATTCCACCATAAATACCAAGCAGCTTTAGCAATAAATTCCCCTGCATTCCGGGAGCCCAAGATGGGTAGTTCATGATCAGGCATAAGGAGCAGGAATTCAAGGACTGCCTCTCCTGCACGATCAACGACGCAGGCTTTTTTTACCACTTCATACAACCCCAAATGTTCCCACACATCGTTTGCCTTCTAACACAGAAATAATATATGTTTCGTGTCCTCCGGCCCGTCCAAACATGCTGGGCATATTGGTTGAGTTTTTATATGTCTGTTGGCCAATGTAACACGACATGGTAGAGTTCCATGAAGCATCCACCAAATAAAAAATTTAACCTTCGCCGGACAAGCTAATTTCCAGATCTTACCCCAAATAGGATTGACCTTGCTTCTACCCATACCATTCGAGTATTCTAACTTACTCCCATGTTGCTTATTCCATTCCTCCACATAAGCTGATCGTACAGTGAATAAACCGTTTGTTGTATAGCTCCAAGCAATAAAGTCCGACATATTATGCATAGGGATCGGGATCGCTAGGACTCTACGAGCATCAATTGGCCATAGAGTTTGTCTCGCCAAATCTTCATCCCAGCCATTAGTGACTGGGTTAATAAGATCAGAAACTTTCATCAAACGATTCCCCCTTCTGGGTGTAATAATTTTCCTGTCTGCACAATTTGGGATCCATGCATCTCTCCATATGTCAATATTTTCTCCTGTTCCCACTCTCCATATATAGCCATTCTTGAGAGAGTCCACTCCCGCCATAATGCTTTGCCAAGTAAAGGAAGAGCCCTTATTTAATACCGCATTCATCAAATCACCTTCGGGGAAATACTTGGCTCTTAGGATTGTTGCACATAATGATTCAGAATTATCCACAAGATGCCATGCTTGCTTCGCTAATAACGCCAGGTTAAAGGAGTGTGTATCACAGAAACACATTCCTCCTTGTTCTTTTGGAACGCACATCTTCCACCATGCCATCCAATGCATCCTTTTCTGATTGTCCTCGTCGCCCCACCAAAATTGCGACATCGCGTCTATGATTCCTTTGCAAATATTTTTAGGAATTTTAAAGACGGACATTGCATATGTTGGGATAGCTTGAACAACAGACTTAAGAAAAAATTCCTTTCCACCCGCCGATAACAACTTTTCTTTCCATCCACTAATCTTCATAATAATACGATCAATCAAGAACTGAAAAGAATCGCTTTTGTCCATGCCCACGTTGGCAGGTAATCCCAAATATTTATCATTAAGTGCCTCAGTCATAATATTTAGAATTGTACAGATTTGCGCTTTGTCCTCCACTTTTGTATTGGGACTAAAAAATATGCTGGATTTTTCGACACTCACGAACTGCCCCGAGGCGGCATAGTAAGAGTTCAGAACCGCTCTAAGGGCCTCCGCATTCATTGCATTTGCTCGCATGAGGATTAATGAATCATCCGCAAATAATAGATTGGAAACTGAGGGAGCTTCCCTACTGACCTTTATGCCGGAGATATTTCCTCTCTCCTCCGCATCTGCTAAAAGGGCTGTCAGGCCCTCCATACATAACAGGAATAAGTATGATGAGAGGGGATCCCCCTGCCTTAGCCCTCTAGTGGGTTTGAAGCTATCGGTCTCCTCTGTATTAACCCGAATCCTGTACTCCACCGAGGACACACATTGCATAATCAAATTCACCCAGTTTTCCTTGAAACCCAGGTTCACCAAAATTGCTTTTAAAAAAGACCATTCCAATCGGTCATAAGCTTTGTGCATGTCCAACTTGATTGCACACAGCCCCTCCATCCCCGTTCTTTTCTGTTTTATTGTGTGGAAACACTCATATGCTACCAAAATATTATTTGTGATTAGTCTCCCAGGGACAAAAGCACTCTGAGTTGGGCTGATAATGTCTGACAAAATTAATTTCAGACGTGCTGCAATCATTTTTGAAATAACCTTATACACCATCTTAGAAATTAATAAGCAACGAAGGAAGGAAATGATCCATATAAAGAAATAAGGAAGACGTGCGACAAATATGGAAAGGGATAAGGAAAGAAATGAGTGCTACGTGGATTCG